TTTAACTTTGAGCTTATCATATATAATGGAAGTAGAAGGAACAGACGGGCAAATGGATATTAACAACGACGAGTTCGATGAATGGACTAAAGACTCCGATACCGACCCCCTACTATACGACGAACGTTTGAAAAAGAAGTTCGGTAATATGTGGAAAAAGGCCAAGGCTAAGATAAACAGCATGTGGCCATCTAAGCGCCCCGGCAAGCCCAAACCCGTATACCTGCAGATGAAAAATCTGGAGTCCGTACCTGAAGCCCCCACCGCCGAGTGGCTTGCTAAAGTTCAAGCAGAAATGGACGAAGAAATGGGAAAGGAACCGGACGACTACGATAGAATCAAAGAAGAATTCCCCAACTGGGACCCAAGCAAGGTCCAGGTGATGTTCGACGCGGATAACGAATGGGGTAAGGAAGTCGTAGTAGCAAGGTTGAATAGACTCAACGCTCGCCCCTACATTGTCAGGGACATGAATGGTGTCTACTACGCGGATAAAAACATTCCTCCAACCCTTAGAAAGGCATTAGGAGAAACCAAGATTGGCAAAGTCATCGCCAACGTAAGGGAGTGATATCCCCGCGCCGACTTAACCCGCTTGGAATTCAAGGTCGGTGAAAGGGGTCAAATACAAATTCGTCATACGGGTCGAGAAAAGTGGTACGACTTCTATCAAAGGAAAGACTCCGCCAAACTCAACGGTGCCCTTACGAAAGAAATAACAGCAGCATTGGGAAATCCCAACTTATCCGCGTTGTCTGTTTTGACCAAGAAAGAAACCGCGGCACTTAGCGAAAGATTCCTCAAGAGCATTACCACACCTAAAAGTACGAGCGCAATGCGAGCCATCAGCGAGATCATAAGTAAGGACCAAAAGAGGCTTCAGGAAATACAAGTCGCTAAGGAAAAAGTAGTTGAAAAACTAGCAAGCCTACCATCGGGTAACAGCGAAGCTATTCAGTCAAGTGCGTCCCTGGAATCCCTTAGAATTGAAGAAAAGGCGCAACAAAGAAGCATAGAAGTCAAACGGGAACAGCTTGATGAACTTACGCAGCAACTTGAGGAAAGAGAAAGCGAATTAGTGGCGGAGGCGGAACACATCGAATACTTAAAGCAGACAATGGACGAAAGAGAAGAGGAATACATGAAGCAATATCAAACGATGTCGGATTCTCACGAACGGGAGAGCGAGGACAATAAGCAGCGCATCAGCATGTTGCTACATGAAAGGGACACCGCTAGAAAGAACTTCGATCGTGCAGTTAGAGACGTTGGGGACAGAGACGCCGAACTTAGACGCGTGGGTGCATTACTGGAAGCTTCGGTAATGCAAGAGCGGCAACTTAACGCGGAAATCATCACCAAGGAGGAGCAACTTCGACAAAGAACCCAAGCTATCGAGGACCTGGAGGGGCAAATACAAGCACAACAGGAAATCATTAACGATCAAACGAAAACCGRGGCCGAGCAGGAGGCAGCCCAAACGGAATTAGAGGCTCTTCAGGAAAGGGTTGCGGAGTTGCAGGCGCAAAGAGAAGGCTTGGAAAAGGAGTTGGGGCTTACCACCAAGGAAAAGATAAAAAGAGCCCTTTTGAAGTATGGCGTTCCACTGGCATTTGCGGTCGCTATTAGCACCGTAGTAGGAGTTATAGGAGTTATCCTATCCGCGCTTAAGGCTACAGGCGCGGGCGTAAAGAAATTAGGCAATGGGCTGACGGACTTGGGAAGAAAGATGGCAGCCGGCTTGCCTGGGCTGCTTGGTAGCGTTCTTGGCCTGGCACTTAGGGCCGGCGGAGAACTGTTGAAGTTCGTGGGGAATAACATTTGGATATTAGTCGTAGCTATTGGGGTGGTCCTCCTGAAGAAGATGAAGGGTTAGCCTTCTCATCGGGCGGTGCCCTGCTTTGAGGATAATGAAA